TAGCTTTAGAAAACTAAGTAATAAGGTAGTGTAATTGTTTGCTAAATTACAAGATCTAGAATAAGATAGACCTATAGGGATACCAAAATAAAACTCATTATTTGGTCCAAAATCAATAGAAAAATATTAAAGAAATTAAGCTGAAACCAAGCATGTGCAATCACTATTAATAATTTAAGCAAATGGCAGTACAAAACACTTTAGTCATAATAACCTGCTTAATTCATTTTCATTAGATTATAGTTTTGGATTGTATTACATAAAAGGGAAAATATATTAAGGACCGTCCTTCAACAATTAGACAATATAGGTAGAGACATATCCTGTTAAATCACCAAATTAAGATCCTTTAAAAAGCAACGTAATTTCTTTTTAAATACTAAAGTAGAATTATTACACAACTAAATTATTTTCTTTCCCAATGACCTCTCCCACTCTATCATCAAGAATATAAATGTACAATTGTAAAGTTCAATCATGTCAAAATTGTTGAATGAACATGTAAGGCAAACATCAACTTACCTTTCTAATTGCTTTGATGTAATATTAGTCTATTTTATCATTAATGAAATAATATATAGTTATATAAATAATATCTATAACTTATTTTAGATCGCAGATTTCAAAACTCTTCATATAGATTGAGACAGAAGGAGTAAATTATTTTCAAAAATGTGAATCACCTTCATATAGAAATTAAGACAGATTGAGTAATTTATTTTGCAACGGTGTTTATACACCTTTGTATACAATATTTATACACTTTTATATACTTAGTGTTCTTTCTTGTATAAAAATATATTATAAGGTATATACTTAGTGTTCTTTCTTGTATAAAAATATATTATAAGGTATATATGAGTGTATAACACGTCGCTAGTTATGTATAGTGCAATTTCTATTATTACGATCAATTACGATGAGAGTTTGCTGTTTCAAGTTAAAAAATTTGATAGTACAAACAAATCTTACATAGTCCGTGCATTTAAAATTCTATTATTTTCTTTTTTACAACATACTTAGTATATATAACTTTAATTCACATACATTAATCGTTAATTCAAATTCATGGTAAGGGTAAGGAGGAAACGAAGGAAGACCATAAACGTCTCTTTAGTTAAGTGAATTATTTGTTTGACTTAGGTATATATATCCACCAAAAGAAAAAAAAAGGGGACTTATTACATGAACAGTGTAGTGACATTAACCACACAAGAAGTATTGATATAAAAAAAAAATGTAAACAAATAAAATCATTTTAGTTAGTAACAAAAAAAGTTACAATTTTGGACATATATATACCTAAAACTATTTCATATATTATCTTGAATTGTGTGAAAACAAAAGGACTGAATTTGTTTCTATACGGAAAGGAAAGAAAAATACTTTATTCTAAAATATTTTGCTAAAGATCGAGTTCATGCACTTGCATGTGTAGCCACATGTTTTTTAGCCATTTCTCAAACTGATGATGATAAAACTTTTTTGTACAATTATACAGAATCTGAAAATCTTTCTTGGATTTTTGGGAAATTAGATGATTACAATGTTCTTGAATTGTGTACATTAAATAAAAATTAATATAAGTTTATTAAAAGGGTGTATTATTCGTTTTTTGTAACGTTTTAAAAAGTCTCTATCAAATTGTAGCACTACAAGCCATGTGTTTTAATGAGAGTTACAGAGTGACCCCCACAAAAAAAAAAAATTAAAAAAACTTTATATGGTAATTTTGCATTGCATTGAACCACAAAAACTCTGCACATTTTTATTTAATTTGCTAAAAAAAAAACTACTACTGGTAAAAATCCCTAATATTAAAACCTGAATAATTGTACACTCAACTGCATAACCTTAATATAGTCAGCGAATTGAATTAGTGTATAATCTATGTATATCGACTAAGAAAAGTCAACAGTGAATTCGACTAGCTATTTACGTAAAAATCCCCACATATTACATCAATTTTCTTAAAATGTTAAATTTTTTTCCTAATATTGATGGTAATTTCAGCAACCTTATATGCAAATACTGCTATATTTTTCAACCTAACATGTTTTGCTTTTGCACATTTATAGATATAAGCACAGGGAAAAGAGTCCAGAATGTTTAAATGAATTTGGTCCTGGTTAATTGTAGCTATAGAGATGGACCACATATATACATCCCTTTTTACAATTTTTACCTTGAAATTTTATATTAAAGTTTAACTTCATTGTAGTAACAATGTAAAAGAACTTTAGACTATTTGGAAACTTAAAATATAGATTCATTTATGGTTTGGTTGAACTTAGCAACTTTGTCCCAAACTTAATATTTATGTTAAGAAATTCACCTATTATGAAGAAATACACTATTCAAAACCTAATAAGTTAAAAAAAAAACTTAAAATTTATAATACAAAATTCATAAATTTAAAATTTGAAATTCATCTATAGCCGTCAGTTAAAAGTGAAATTAATAATATGAAATTTTATATATATAACATGTTGAAATATATACCGATAATAATTAATATGGAATATAAAGCAACTTATTAACTCATGGCCATACTAGTTTACACTTTACATGTATGAACTCATTTCCTTTGTAGTGTGCTAGCTAATAGTTTTATTTTTTTACTTCTCCATAAAAATTCTCACCTTTTTTTTCATTTGATGACTCGAACTCATAGTCTTAGAATTGAATATGAAAGTTGTGTTTTCCGGTCTGAGCAAAATCCCTCTCGTCTATGTGTGCTTGAGTTTAATACATAGTTTGGAATGCCATTTAGTACATTTTTTACTTCCGTCAAAGTCTTGTAAGTAACAAAAAGCCTAAGACACAGAAGAGGAGTTACGTTCGACTAAACTCAATAGCTTTGATTTCATTTTTATATTTGTCTTTGAACTAATTAAAATCTAAAATCCATAAGCTTAATATCCTGACTTCACCAAAGAATTAATCTAAACATCATGTAGTACTTGTTACACAATAATTTGTTCATAAAACAAAATGATCTCCAAAAATAAATAAATAAGAGAGAGCATATAATATATCGATCTTCTAGTTGACAAATATTTTGCATCTGGAGCAAAGTTTAGATTAAGATTGAATGGTGTAAATTGAGAGAGGGTCGAATTTCTGAAGAATAGAATAAAAATGTACCTTCATTAAATGACAAATTTAGACTTGCCCTAACTTGAAGGGAATCCATAGACCATGCATGAATAAGGTGGATATGTCTTAATCATCAACGACAAAAGTCATTATTAAAAAAAAAGGATATTTATTAATTTGATTCCTTCTATCCCATCTATTAAAAAACGTTTAAGTTTTGTGCACCGTCAGTGTATAAAAATTTTTACACCATCAATTACTTTTAATGAGATTTAACCATAGTAACTTACTTTAATAAAATAATATTTACTAAAAAAAAAAAACATCAACAAGGTAGTTGAATCAGACTTGGATTCTAACCAAAATTATTTTCTTCCAAAGTATGTCACTTTCTTCTCAGGGAACTTCAACTCCTATATTTTGCTCATCTACATTTAACTTTTCCATTAATCATACAAAATACAATTATAAATATTAGATAGCTTACAATAAATTATAAATCTGATCATATAAATAGTCAACACGTTTACTGTAAAATATATTTAATATTAGTGAAAGTTCAATAAATAAACTCCTTCCCAATAATCTAAAGAGCAGAGCTTAAATATTGGGGACAATATATGAAGACATTTACGATACCATATTCACCTTTCAGGAGACTATGCTCACTTGTTTTTAGTGCATTGAAATTCTTTTGCTCGTGAAGATGTGTTTATAAGGGCCTTTTTTATGTTTCTAAATGAGAAAAATGAGAAATTTGTTCTAATTGCATGACGACATATCACTAAGTAGAAGAAGCATGTCAAGTTTCAAAATCGTTTGACACTTTAAAAATTATTTCTTACCGGTTGACAATGTTTGATGTTGTGAAAAAGCTTGATGCTGTGAAGAATTACTTGAGCTATAGAAAAAAGTGAAAAACCTACGATAAACATAGTAATTGTAATTAACTTTAAAAAAAAACAATTTAATTATGGAAATAATTTTGGTTAGAATCCAAGTATGATTCAACTACATGTTGATGTTTTTTTTTAGTAAATTGTTGATTTTCTTTTTTCATGAATTATGGTTATTTTATTAAGTAAGTTACTATGGTTAAATCTCATTAAAAGTAACTGATGATGGTGTAGAAATTTTTTTACACCAACGATGCACAAAACTTAAACTCTTAAAAAACATTAGTACTACTAAATTAATTACGCTTCAATCACTTTTTAATACGAAAAATATCAATTGGATGATCATATATACATCTGACTAAATCAAAAAAATATTTAAAATTTCAGTGTAACATGAAATATTTATAGGTACTCTATTTGGGATAAATCCTTTAATCACGGAGTTCAAAAAATTCATTTTCATATTATTTTATTTCATGTACCTATTTAACTCATGGTACATTTATTTTAAAATTTTTATGTTTATCACTATGTCATACACAATATTTTTTTCAAATTCCATGAAAAATCCTTAAGAGTTTGAACTTTTATAAATTCAAACTTTATGAAAAAATCTTGAAATTTAAATTACATTTATAACTCGATAAATTTTTTGAACTTTGGCACATTTTATTGGATTTTAACTTGTCAAAACTTCAAATTTTTATGGTGGAGTTGATCCGTATTTTAAATTGAGACTAAACTTGATTGTTTGCTGAAAAAATGGTCATTCCCGTCTAATTTTTTTTCCATATTATTTATGAATTTAACTCAATTATATATATTCTAACAATGCAAAAGATATCACCATTATTATCAATGTAATTTAATATGTTATATCATCGTCATATTTTTCAAAATACGAACGTACTCTTATTCTTTTATTTACACTATTTAGTGATATAAAAACCCCGACAATTATATGTGAGCAACTATAGAAAACAGTAGTACTAAAAACTGTAATAATTGTACTCAAATAAGCCACACATTTATAAACAAAAAATATCACTGCTCATGTTGTACGTACGTACAAGGACGACAAGAAAGAACTCTACTATACTAATTAATATGAACATTGAACAAGTTTTTTTTTTCTTTTTCTAGTGGATTCAAACTAAGAAAAATTAAAAAAACATGATAAATAAAAGATAATAGGGGGATCTGTTCCCTAGGCTTAGCAAGAAAGTGTAGCTTCTTCCTCCTCAATTATTCTTAGCATGTGGTGGACTGCACCTGCTATGTCATCTGCTGAGTTTAGTTGGCAACCTTCCTCCACCTGCCATTTTTTTTTTGGGAAAAATAAGATTATTATTTCTAAATAATGAAACTTCGTATCACATAATTTAATATGATATCAGAGGAAACAAGATCATGTGTTCAAGTTTTATCGTCATACAATATCACATAATTCTAACATGATATTAAAAAAGGCAAAATGATGTGTTTGAATTTCTAACTTGATATAGATCCTGTGTTCGAGTTTTATCATCATCTATTATCGCACACAATCTAACATGATATTAAAAAAAAAAGAGGCAAAGATCCTGTGTTTAGAATTTCTAACATGATATCATAGAAGATAAAGATCTTGTGTTCGAGTTTTATCGTCATCCATTATCACACAATTCTAATATGATATCAGAAAAAGCAAAGATCCTATGCTCGAATTTTATTATCCTCCATTATAACACAATCTAACATGTTATCAGAAAAATCAAAAATTCAGTATTCGAATTTTATCGTCGTCCATATCAAATTTATTTTACGTGCTTGGTACTACAAAATAAGAAAAATGTTCAATTGAACAATTTGACACAACTACTAAAAAGAAATAATTTTTAAAAAATCATTTTTTTGAAATAATTCGTAATCATAAGTACAAAAAGACAAGTATGACTTTACTAAGAAACGCCATACAAGAATTGTAAAGAAACACCCTTTCTGACCCATCATTGCCTTCTGAAATTAGTAAAAAGTAGTAAACCTTTTTTAAATTCCCAAAGTACCCCCAACAACTTTTTTTTTTCTTTTTAAAAAATGGCTCATATTTTCATGTAATGAAAAGTACCTGTGCTATATAGATTCTTGCAATCTCTAGTCATTTTCTTACAAAAAAAAATCATCTAAATAATTTTCAAAAAAATAAAATAGAAATCGTACCTTAGCACTTATTGAATAAAGAACCAATGGATCTAAAGTGGTGACATTGAGGTGAAGGACAGAAATGTACAATGACTGAAACGCAGCGACCAATTTAGATAGCTGACGAAATCTTCTTCTTGATAATATTCTAACGTTTGCATGTGTTTCAATTAAAGTTACTTCAATATCTGCTATAGCTGCCTTGCTCTTTGAAGTGTATTTGTTTGGTAATTCACAACATGTATATTGTGGATATGAGAAAAATTGAGCAAATGGGGTCCCAACATACTCCGCGCTCGAAACTTCTGTCTTTCCTACATCATAACCATCACAACCATCACCAGTATTACTAGTAGTACCGCCTTGTTGTTGTTGTAATAATACAAATTTTTGAGCTTCGAGAGATTGTAGAATGTGTTCCAATTCCTTTACGAATTCAATTGCACCACCAACTATTGAAGCTTGGTCACCCTGAACCATATAATAATAATAATTATTACGTCTCAATTCTAAGTAATTGAAGTGTCTTTTTCTAAGAAAACTAATTTAATGATCTATAGGACATTCTTACAATGAATATTCTTCATCAAATGCCAACTACACAGTACTACTACTACATATAATAAATTCACAAAATGATTGAAATTCAAGTTATTAATTGACAAATGTACGTAGGGTCATTTAGAAAAATTGAATGCAAAGCGTTATTTTCAACCTCTTTTTCCTCGAATCCTCGACAGTATTTTTTGCCTGTTTGTACCTAAATGGAAATAAAAGCTACAAATAACACTAAAAAGAAAAAGAAAAAAAACATCAAACCCCACAAAGAAAAAATATAGAAAAAACAAAGTTTTTATTATGAACTTATTTGTGTAAATTGTAGTAGAGGGACCAAGTCTGAAAGTTGTTCATATGCACTAGGGCTCATAATTCGAGAATAAATGAAGAATAGGGCTATGTTAGTGCAGTCATTTCATACAAAGCAAAAAACAAAAAAACTTTATGCTGCTTATTTGCAGAATTCAAAATCATATACGTAACTCAGTTGATTGATTAACTAAAACTTTTATATTAATGACGAAAGTTCAATCAACAATCTCAGCTAAGAAGGTTGAACAGTTAAACACCATTTATAGTCAAAATTTTATACTTACTAATATGTTAAATTTTGTATTAAGTTAAATTTCTAACTTTGCGTTACTAAAAGCATTTACCATCATGCATAAACTATAGAGAAAAAAAAAATTAGTACCTCATACTATAGTATAAATGTTGAAATTTTACGTAATTAAATTAAAACTAAAAAAAAGAGTAATTAAATAGTGTACATACCCTTTGAACATAAGATTCAGGCATGAGTGAACGTAAAACAGAAAGATGTTCATTCATTTGTTTCCTTCTATTTCTCTCAACAGCAATGTGAGTCATTCTTTGATTTTCAGCTTCCTCTTTATTTTTACAAATTTTGGGTCTTCTTCTCCTTTTCTTTCTCCCTCCACCGCCGCCTCCTGATTGTGCCGCGACCGACAAATTATTCTTCTCCCTAGAAGTGTCTGGTCGCGGCACTGAGGCGGCGGTGGAATATTGTTGCTCTAAGGGAGTAGTAGTACAAAAATCTTGAGGTTTTAATAAAAAGGCATTATTTTCTTCATGATTGTCAAAAAATAAGGCATTTTCATCAAGATTGTTGTTGTTGTTGGTGGTGGTAGAGATTGTATCATAGATGATGAAGTTGAGGAGTTCATTGGTAGAAAGTGCTTCTAAAGCCATTTGGAATATTTTTTTTGTTTGTGATTTTTTAGATAAGTAGGAGGGTCTTGGATTTTGCTTTGTAAGAGGGTTTTGTATGTGTGTGTTTTGTTTTGAGAGCCCCAATGAACATTTGACTTGTTTCTTTGCTTAGTTTACTCTATCTCTATTTGTATGGAGTATTATAAGACTTCAATTAGTATTTTATAGTGATACCCACTGATCTCTTGAAGTAGTAGTATGTGTAAGACAAAGACATACTATAGCTATTAACTAAGGGGTCGTCTTTAATTAGAGCTCTCAAATTTCAAAATGGGAGAATAAAGAATTTTTTGATAAAATAAATTGTCTTTAGTGGGCCTAGTTGGAGTGAATTCAAATTATTTAGACAAGTAAATTTTGGTCATTAACAAATAATTATAATGGGTGATTTGCAAAAATAGCATACCGATAACCATTATAAGTTGTAAGATGTGATCTTGAACTTTTAGTCCAATTTAAAAAGAATCTTTGAAGGATACCTTAAATTTGTCGGGTAAAATCTTTTATTGTCCATCGGATATATGTTAGAGACAAAAGTTCAAAATATTACAATTTGTTCGAGGTAATTAACTTGTTCAATTAATTTCCTCATATGCAAACGTATTTTGTGTTTTCTCTATTGAAAATGTATGTTATTAAACTATTGTTAATGAAACAATTGAATTTGATCGCGATTAAATAATAAATGCCTTTTATATAAAATCATGTTATCAGTTAATACAATTGAAACTTCTCTTCAATAGGCAATACATGGTAACTAATGAAATATCTCAAATATTTGCCAAGTCATTAAGTGCGATCATACGCGGTTATTGATGTATTATGCCATGTTATTTTTTAATCTGTATTAATAATATAAAATATAGCATCTTTTTTAATTCTATACATCAATCTCAATTATAACGTGCCTGAGGTTTTACAGCTTATTAAGACTAATGTGTATAATTAAAGAAGTGAAATATACATTTTAAGTAATTAGCGTATCTACTAATGGACACTTGGGAACACAATTATAAGCTTTTCCCAAATTGGAGTCAAAAGTATTCTAATATGAATACTTTATTATATATTTGGATGTTGCTATCGAAACAGATCGTAGTTTGTATATCTAAATAAAATTTACTAAATGCTAGTGCTAGCGATAAATTATGTCATTTTTCTTTTTCTATTTTTTTCCACTCACTTTTTCATATAGAAAAGCTCGTTCGGTATGCTTCCCTCTCGTGCATTAATATATCCTTCATTTCCATTGTTTGTTTTAAGTACTCTTAAAAGGGATGTGTATAAAGGACCTATTTAAAAAAATTTATTCTTGAAATTATATAAATTCAAGATTTATAGTACATAATTAAACGGAAGTAAAGCAAACGTGCATCTTTTAATTTAGACAAAAAGGTTTTATATTATCTTGTTCCTTGGTAAATATTCTAATATTTTAATCTTTTCCCCTGAATCTTAGTAGTATCTTTGTGCTGCAGACCAATGTCATGAGTAATAATATATATATATATATATATATATATATTAATAAATAATGTCAGTAGGTATTTGGATAATATTTTGTTGTAAATGAAGGAAAATAGAATACTTTAAGTTGAAATTTGGATAATATTTTGTCCATTTTGCTTTTTAATAAGTTTAAACATATGTTACTATAGGGATGTTATAGCAGGTTTTTAAATCATGTAGCTTATATAATAAGTATTTTTAATATATTATAACCTTATAACACATACACATTTAGTTTTATTTAATACTTATACACAATTAGTTTAATAGTATTAAGATTCAAAAGTTCTTTTTATATTCTTAATTTTCATATTCAGTCATAACTTCATTTATTTACACTTGATAAAATCTTAAGCATAATTATTTATATCATAGTCATTAAGTTTGTTATTTCTACATGTAAATTTAAATCGTTAAATGTATTTTGTTTATGTTACAAAGTACAACATCTTAATAGTCTCAAAGATTAAAAATCTATAATAAATTCTAGATATCATTAAAATATTTATTCAAAAAATTTAACAAAAATGAGGGTTCGCCAATTCCATTCACTACCACCATCACCCACGACAGCCAATGTCACCGCCGTCCATCATTATTCACTATCACCATCCTCGTCCACCCTGTCACTACACTACAATCAACTGTCAGCCATTATCCAAAATCATCACCATCAATTATCATTACAACAATAATCATTGATCACTATCTACAATCATCACCATCAGTCACCACTATATATTATTAACCACCGTCACGAAATTACTATCATCCACACACGACACATCTAAATGCTAGATCCCACAAGATTATTGGCCAAATGCCCTACAAATCTTACCGACTCGAATTTACTAATAGAATCTCTACGACTATAAGAATTTTAACCCAAGCAGACCAGATCTTTCGTTTTCTCTATCTTTTCTTGTTAATTATTGATTCTCCTCCTCACACACAAAACAAAAAAAAAATGTCTACATTTTAATTCATCATAGACACATAACGTTAAGTCATATAATGGTTGTAATGTTTTGGTTCCCAATTTATTTTATACATACAAGCTGTCAAAACATACTGCCAGAGGGGGGGTGGGGGTCCCAAGTGTAGGGGACCCAAGATATAGATTGAGATATGCATAAAAACAATATAACAAGCTGTGCAAAAGCTACCTTTCACGTTCTTACTTTTTCTTTTCTTTTTTTCATTTTTCCTTTGAAAATTGAGAATTTTTTTTTCTACCCACTATAAAACTCAATTCCCTAGATGATACATGTATAATTTCTATACCTTTTTTTCTTTTCTTGTGGCTCTCATGTCTTTAATCTCACAAAATGTATTCTTCACGTCTATTTATACTTGTCTATTCTATCAAATGACTGTCTTCGATCCTAGTGTTACATTTAGCAAAAACTCAAAATAAATGCTACCTTAAAAGTTTTAAGATAAAAACTAATGTATATTTTTTAATTATATCCGTGTGCTCTATTTTTTTTAATAGTGTTAAATTCTCAAGAGATATTTTATTGAATATGAATAGTTTAATCATATATTGTATTTGTTAATTTCTTAATAGATGTGATTCTTGTTGTTTTTAGGACAAAAAAATGTCAATTTTTATTTATTCAATTTGGAAAAATTATAAGATAATTTAGCACTTTATACCTATTTTTACCCTTATTATGATATATACTATTCTCTCTATCTCAATTTATGTGGCTCATTTTTCTTTTTAGTGTGTTTTAAAAAAGAATAACACATTTCTATCTTTAGCAACAATTTAATTTTTAAATTGTCAATTTTACCATCAATGAAATTATTTATAGTCACAAATCATCTACACCTTATTTCAAACCACAAATTTAAAAATCTTTCTTTCTATCTTAAACTCCGTTCGAATCAAACTAACTCATATAAATTGAGACCGAGAAAATATTATTTTTCAATATTTAAAAATGTTGATTCTTTGTGATGGTTTCAGTGGGAAATGTCATTCACATCTTCCAACTTAACCTAGGTGAAAAGTAAGAGTCAACCACAAACCTTGGAGGGAGGGGGGGGGGGGTAAAAAGGTGTCTCTAATGTCAGTTTATAGGGTCTGAAAAGAACTTCATAGAAATAGTTGTAGGGATAAGCTAAAAATATTTTATTACTAGTAGAAAACGAAGATACTTCTCGTTAATTAACATCACAAAAACAACTTTTACAAGTTGATGAGCCAATGGCTTTTCACTATCTTCTTTCCAAATTATCATTTGGGGAAAAGGGCTGGTTTTGTCTGTGAAATATTTTATTAAAAATTGATGAATATTTATCATATGTTACATTTTTAGTTCAAAATGTCCTTATTTCATTGTTAATTAAGTAACTCAATTTTGAGTTATATGAAATTGTTGGACTATTATATCTTAAAAGAGATATATCAAGAGTTATACTGCTGAATTAATGTAAATTATACAGCAGTAAATTCTTAAAAATGAGCAGAAAAAAATTATGTCTTAGTCTCAATATTTATTTATTCCTTTTATTTCAACAATTTATGATATCTACAAAAGACCCAAACATATATATACAAGAAAAGGTGCGTGAAATGATTTTTACAAAATTAAGGTGTATATTTCAATTACGTAAATTATAAGGGGATCGTATGAATTCCACCAAACTACGAAACAATATAATATAATAATGATGATGATGATAATAATAATAATAATAATAATAATAATAATAATAATAATATTTGCATGTCACAGATGAACCCATGAGTTTGTGATTCAGAGGAAATAGTCAACACAGAAGAACAGGATAGATACTGCATGAATCAGTTCTCTGGGAACCATAATTTATTTATTTTATTAAAAAAATATAACGGCGTAGTACATTATTACATTATTATCTGACCAAGAAAACAAGACTACTTCCTATCTCAGGCACAGACATGAAGGTTCATTCACATATTGACACCTACTCTTTATTTAAATATAAGTATTATCCACTAAAATTGAATATCCATACATACGGATAATATGAATATCTATATTATCATTATCGCTTGTTATTTTTCATGAGTTCTTAATTGTAATAAGTCTAAATTTATTTTGACATAGTGTTAAAGACCACGATTATATTCACTATTTAACTTGTGTTTGGCCTTTATTTTGTTATAGCCTAAATACACTAGCATGTAGTAACAAGTTTTATTGTACAACTAGTTGTGCATATTTTCCCTATGGGTGGAGGTCAACCATGAATAATTAAAAAATCTTCTTTGATAAGAGTAAAGTCAATGCAATCAAAATCACCATGTCTAGGACAGAGGTGAACCGTATTGCTCGATGATTGAGATGTCTCTACGGTTTCATCAAATCAGATAGCTTGAGTTTAAGTTCTTAAAAATGGATTTTTTTTTTGTTGAAAGCATATTCCCCAAAAATAAACCTACAATGCGCGAATTTGAATTTAGTCGCGTCCATGCTACTAGTACCTTATACCAAATGGAACCTCCCAACCCCATCCACCATCCAAAAAAAAAAATCGACGATGTATCAAAGACTTATACACGTTCTTGTTCCATTACTATTCTAATGTATCATTCTAATTTACAATAGGATGTAAAAATTGCATCTTATAGCATGTATTCTATACTAAAAAGAAGACGAAATTTTACCAAATTTAGCAAAATGTTAAGAGGCAAAAGCTGCCCTATGAAAAGCCTTGCTACATAAATAGAATACATGATGCATGCCTTTGTTATCTTTTGACTCTACGTTAATCAACTCATTAAATATGGGAGTTCATTTTTTGACTAAAGATTTTTGAAATGATTATCAACAAAATATTTGGAACTTTGTTTAAAAGGTAAATGCTTACTTGGGTCCTCCATGATACTTGAATCATACTTTGACATCAACCTTGTCATTTCCCCTTGTCCTACTCTACTTTCTCACTGTTCATTAGGTATCCAACTAATTCTCACTTTCTTTTTTTTTTTTGGGTGCAAAAGATTCAAAATGCATACTCTGTCACAAATAATGTATTAGATTTTATTATTTCAAAATAACTCAACTTCAAAAAATTTATTATTTTTAATAATATGTTTTATAGCCATATAAATAAATTATTATTTTTCGACTATAAATTTCAAAAATCTTTCTTTATTATATATTTCTTAAATTTCATGATTGGTCAAACAATGCGACATAAATTAAGCAAGAGTAATACTATGCGACATTCCAGCACTACTCTATCCCTTTGAGAAATGGTATAAGTTATAAACTATTTGGCCAAATTTTTGAAAGGCCATAAGCGCTTATTTTTAAAAAAATAGTGAAGTTACTGGCCAAACTTTTGAAAGAAAATAAGTGTTTTCAAAAGGTAAAAAATGTAGCATTTTCCTAAAAATACTTTTGAGGAAATACACTTTAGAAGCACTTTTAGAAAACTTGATCAAACACTAATGATTGTTCAAAAGTATTTTTTAATTTTTGTGGGCAAACACTGACGGCTTCTCATCAAAATTTCTTTCTTAAAAGTACTTCATAAAAAATACTTTTGAAAATAATCTAATTATAAAACTTTTAACCAAACATACTATTATTAATAGCTTGCTCATAACTTTCAATAATAATAATAATAAAAATCTTCCCCCTGAAAAGGTAAAAGAAAAAAAAAATCAGAACAAAAACTTCCTCAAATGAGCACTGCTAATTAGAGTCCTTTTAAAACCTGCTGTCCACCCACATCATCAAAACATGAAATTCAGTATTGGATTGACACCTTTGCACTAAAACAAATTTTGCTCTTAGCAAATGTTTGATAACCTGAATAACTGGGAGTTTAATTAGAGAAAATAACTATTCCAATTAATTTAACAACAAATCTAGTTTTAATATATGTGAAAGATAAAATATGAAATAGCTCCAGCTCTTTATCAAGCACCTACTACTCTTTGTGGACTATAGAATAGTATAAAGAATTAGTCAAGATGCACACAAGCTAGTCCGAATTAAAATGATACTTTGTAATGCTTAATATGCCATACATTGTCACGGGGTACTACCTTGTTCTTGTCTGTCTATATAAAAAACTTATATGATAAAAATAACCAACCTTGTATTGTACATAGTCACCAAAGGTCCACAGTAATAAAAGGTAAAAAACTGCAGATACCTTGTATTGTACATAGTCACCACAGTAATAAAAGGTAAGGGCAAAACAATAGGAGTCACTCAAAAGGAAGAAAGAAAAATAGACAGGAAGAGAGAGGGGAAGAGGAATAGGTAAAAACTGCAGATAAGGACCATGTGAAAGTAGAAGCACAGGAAATGTCACCTTATCTGGAGAAGAGGACGGATGAATGGACGTTTGGACCATGGTCCAATTAAGCTGTCAGGCCCTCTCTGTATAGGGTATCCACAATCCATGTGACCAACCAAAGCTTTCTCTTCTAAAGTAGTACATTTCAGCAATCATCTGCATTCAAAAACTAAAACTCTACATCTATTATTATTAATAACAATAGTATTCCAACTTTCTTTCTTTGGACCCCCTATTTTCTTGGGGGACCCATGAATACCATTTCCTAAATGGGGCTTGAGTTTGGCTTTCTTTTTTAGCCATGGGCAATCCTACCCAGTGCATGCACAGAGAAAGCAAAAGAGGGATTGAGGTCTCACTCTCTGTGCTGGTTCCTGTCACATATACTCCTTTTGGTTGTCGTGGCACAGCAACGGCATATGATTTAGGCCGCGATCACATGCTCACGTGGGTACACCATGGTCATTTCTCTCACACACTTCCCACAGTGCATTTCTAATTAACAGAAATAGAGTAAACTGTAGGATAGTTGAATAGACAGGGGTAAGGTAAAATATATGATTGCTCAGTCAATGCCTCGATTACAGAATCTATTGTAGACACAGGATCTATTACGTTAAAGAATGGATTTTGAATTAGAGTACACACTAGAACAAGCTCCACTACCAAAACTTCAATCGAATACCATAAAAATGTGCAACTGCTGCGGCAATAGATAAAATGTATGCATATCCAACCAAGATAGCAAGGGCAACGAATGGTGAGACAGAGAGGGTATCCATGGAAAGATTAACCATTCCAGTTAGCACGTTAGCCTGCATGATTGCAAAACAATTTTTATGACTAATCATCCAGAGATCAGAGGTTGAACATAAACTCTTCTAGAATGATGATGTCACCAATAAAAATTTCCTCACCAGAAGAAAAGAGCCCAGTAGATTTCGGTCGAAATATTCTATCAATGCAGCAACTTTATATCCAGGTACATAATCAGCTAGAGTTAAAACTGCAAAAACCTGAAAAGGGAAAACGTTGAATCATATGCCTAAATAAAAAAAATAAAAAAATGCAACATTATATGGATCACGCCAGCAGATTTCTGTATGAAATTATGCAGCATTACATTCCGGAGAAATTCACAAGTAATCCAAAAACTCTTCCTGGAAAAACAGGAATGATTGCTAATTAGGCTACCTCTATCCAGAAGTTTGGATTGTTCCCCTACCAAGAGTGAAATGAATCTATCCTTGACCAAACTTTTTGGAATGTGTAAGCAACATTTTGAAAAAGCAATACTCAGCTTGTGTAAGTGTATAATTAGTTGAGTCAGAAGAAAAATTATGAGCATCCTACTTCACCCAGAAATTTGGTCAAACAACCACAAAAAAAAAAAAAAAAAAAAAAAACAGGATTAGCTTTTCCAGAAGTGGGTACCAGCCAACCTTTAGTCCTTTGCTCAATGACATACATTCTCTGTGGTATTACTCTAAAGTCGTCCTATCACTAAGATTTGTGAATGGCCCCAAACTAATTAACTTGTTGGAGAAATTTAACGTTAAAAATTTCCCTTTCAAGTTGCAGGTTGATTCATGCTATTTAGTAAATAGTAATGAAACTCCTTGAGCTAAATGCCATTAATTTCTGGGAACTCAAATCTACTTTTGTTTCTCCATCTTTATCTCTTATTACTTCTTGTGTCTCCATTGAAAGATTGGACTTATCAAGCTCTGAAATGAATGGTAAATGATCAATCAATCAACTATCTTTCACTTCCAAACTATTTGGGGTCAATATATGACTAAATCTATTCCTCTTTATTTGTATCCATTTCATTTCAATACTGGCAATTCTCTAAAAGAAGTTCTCCAAGTCCTACACTTATTCCCACATTGACATACAAGTTTCTACAAACAACAACAATACACCCAGTGTAATCCCTACTGGTGGGGTCTGGGGAGGGTAGGAGATAGACCCTACCCTATTTTTGTTGGGTAGAGAGGTTGTTTCCGATAGGCCCTTGGATCTACAGACAAGAAAAGAATTTGAAGCATGGTAGCAAGAAATATGACAGCAAAATACTGACATACAAGTTTCTACTGAACTAAAAGTATTCCTGGTAAGCACTAGATTTAATGTAACAGTAAAAACAACAACTCAACCTTCATTTGAACTAGCTGGCATTGTCCATATGGTTCCTTTGCTTCCATTATCTTCTATTATTAGCTAAATCCGCATTGGTTCCAATAAATCACAGGTTTTTTATAGCCTCCTTCTATTTGATTCTATGTCTACATTATCCTCTTTAAGCACCTTCAATAATCATACAAACCAATTCAACATGGTCAAACCATCTTCAGTGATATTTTTTCTCATTTTTATCCTTTATGTCCAATCTGATGCAATTGTTTCAAGATTTGTCCAATCTTGTTCAACTGCATATCCATATTAGTTTGTGCATTTCTAAGCATTCATCTTCTGGATATATTTCATTATTGAGACAGTACATTCACTTCAATATAACATTGTTGCTCCCGCAACCAGTGGCGGACCCAGGATTTTCGTTCAGGCGGTTCGAAATATAAAAGTATAAATGTGTAAATAAGCCTTTAGAAATGGGAAACTTGAATTCTTTTGGGTTTAAAACCAAACTTTTAGCACATTTTTTAAAGTAAAAAAATAGAACTTAAAAAAACAGAACTGAAAAAGAAAAAAATAAAACACTTTCACTGGGATTCGAATTGGCGACGTACATCTTAATTTCAGGGGTACTTGCCACTGCGCCATCAGTTTCTCTTTGTTATTGAGGGGGTTCAAAATATATATATCTACAGAAATACATAAAATTTACCTTATATATACCGTGCAATTTTTTGCCGAGGGAGTTCGGATGAACCCCCTGGAACCCACGTGGGTCCGGCCCTTCCCGCAATCATTCTGTAAAATTTGCTCTTACGTTGTTAGGCACTGGATTCAATGAAAATCTCTTTGTATCTCTACCCACTGTTCTCACACTTGTAACTGCTCCTTTGAACTATCCTGTATCATATTTATATTTGATATGGATTCTTTATTTTCGAACTACTTTACTGGCACTACCATATGCTTTCTTTAGTTCACCGAATATCATGTAGATTCCTTCTCTCTGTAAGAATTTCTACAAATCTCAACAAAAATACTCCGCTGTTACAAGACTACCAATCATGAACCCACTTAGCCTTACTTAATGTCCCTACTCTATCCTCATCACTATTCGAATTTTATATTATATAAGTTTAGCTTAAAATACATACATATATATATATATATATATATATATATATTTTATATAAGTTTCACACAATAATAGTTCGAACATCTTTATCTCCTTTGTTCTTGTATATTGGAACCAAGGTACCCTTTTCCACTCATTTATTATCTTTCACTCCTTAATATAACATTGAATAGCATGGTTAGCCATCACTTAACCTCACCAAGGCACTTCAAAACTAGTCTATCCTCATCATATCCTTTACTTCAACATAGGTTTATCTATAAATTCAGCTAAGGTTTCTATCTGTCACACATGTATGAATATCTACCAAGTCATCCTGGTAATTTGTATTGAGCAATTGACTGAAATTCTTTAGTCTCACTATCTACTTTCAAATCTTGTCCAAAATCATTCTTAATACACTTGATCTAAGTTTTTCTGCCTTTGCACTCAGTCTTGAAATAACTGATGAGAGCTGACGTCAGAAAACCCATGAACTTAAAGACACAAAAGTACATCCATCCGATAAGACTAACATGTATGTCTGCAAGCGCAAACTCCATTTACAAGTGCAGAACTGTTCGGAAGAAGAATCATGGATAGATGGAATGAGTAGGCTACCCCAGTCAAGTAAACAAAAGGAGCCACAGGGAATAGACAATTCCACATTCTAACTATGACAAAAGAACTTTAATCAGCGTATAAGTAGATAGAATAAAAGAGTGAATTATGGTCTTTAGTGGTATGAAAGAAACAGACTTGAAGGAAGAGTGCACGAAAACAGCTCAGAACATTCTTGAACACAATGCAGAAGAGGAAGCCCAGAACCATTTAGAAACAGAGCCAATTTCTATGAATCTTACCTGAAGGTTCATAGCCAATACTACAGTAACATAAGCCAGGTTGCACTGTTAAAAGAGATTATTAGTCACATAAAACTAGATTGAAAACTAAGATATTTGCTATTGAAATTAAAGGAGGAAAACTCCCAGAGTAATACACTATACCATTCTGCGAGAAACCCTCTCAACATGCCTATCTAGCAAAACGGTCAACAACCTGCAACATGAAGAGGAAGCAACAAGCTTAGAAATATCAGCATTTAAATAGCAAGAAAGCAAACATTCAGGAAGTGGACAACAAAATACTCCATAGCCAGAAATCAGACCAGAATAGAAGACAGATAATCCAGACTCTAATCCTTGCCCAATCGTTTGTCCTCAACACAGCATCTCCAGGTTTTCCAAAGAAAAGATAGTTGCCTAGTTGGACACAAACAAGGTACAACCCCCAATAACCTGATATCAAAAGAAATAATTTGCTAAACCAAAATAACCAATCATAAAATAAAAATGTAAGAAGATTGTGACAAGAAGTACTGAAAATATTATGATAACCACCATCGACCCAGCTAAAGTCGATAATGCTCATACAATGAAATTAAATATCACATTTGGTTTAAGATGACTCCCAAATACCTTCTGAGAAAAGATGAGTAAGAAAATAGAAATAACTAATTAATTCTTCAGTTAACATGTTTTGTTCTACCTTGAAAGAGAAGTCATCGTAAGAATTTTCACATCCTATTGAAATGGGTATCCCAAATAAGCTTTCTTTCCTTGTTCCAGAAATTTGGGGAAGAACTTCAAAACTTGCACAACATTAACTTATTTTTTCCATCTGGAAAAGAACTATTTTTCTTCAGTGAGTCTGGCGCGCGTGTGTGTGTTGATCTGGATGTTCATTTGTCCCAAAATCTACAAACTTACCTGACCCATTTGTATTCCACTATTGGCAATACTTGATACATGTGTTAGATTCAACAAAGAACAGACCCAATGGATCCCCAGTTCTTACTACAATGAAGCTATATTACATGGACCAGCTTGCAAGATGTGAGTATGTGATTACTGCTATATTGATTACTGTTATATTCAGAACATACTGAACTTGTCCTTAGCATAATATTTTATTTTGGTTGATAAGCATTTGGAATCCAATGTTTGCAATTTTTTCAACACAAGGTCCTTTTCTGCAGTTCTCCCAACCCACATCAGAAACATTCACCTAAGTCCACGGCCTCATGCATTATTCACATAATTCTTCCATTTAAACAAATTAGCAAACCCCTGTATCCCATATTAGGAAGCAGTTTACACGTGTATGCTAGACTGACCAAAGAAATACCCCACAAAAAAACTAAATAAAACCCCCACTTCTTGCTAAAATAAAGTTTCAATGATGAACTGCCCTTAATCTGATTACTACTATATTAACAACTAATTATGACACTTATATCTAAAAGTTTATTTTGATTTACAAGCATTGTGACACAGAACTTTAAAAAGTGCACATATATTGGAACCATTTACTTAACTCCACCTATATGCGCTAGTCTCAAGTACAGAAAAAATTAAGGGGAAAGTTTCATATCCAAGTCAAAACGAAACGGGGAACCATCCGATCTCTTCTTCAAAGAATTTCCAAAAAGACACAACGACCATAAAACTGAGCAAGCCAGTAAGCAAATGCACGGTGTCAGAGAGAGAGAAAGACTGCTCTAATTTCACTTCACCTTACCAAAAATGCTAAAAATCCCTTCTTTGTTTTGACTGATGATGTCATGTCCTCGTTCATTTGAAAGAAGATATTCATTTAGCCCAAGCAACAGGATGACCTCATATACTGAAAGGACAAACAACATTATAGGTTTACCAAGCATATGAGAAGGTACCAAAAATTCTGAGATGGGCCAAGATTACAATAATACCTACTAGAATAAACCACCCCAGAATTCCACAATAACTCGGTTGAAGATTAATTATCGATGTCAAAATTGCTACACCAGCAAGAGTGAAAAAGAAATTCCAGTGCACACCATATTCACCAACGTGAACCTATGACGAAGGAAATGACTTCTATCAGTATTAAGAATGACATAGTTTGAAGAAATGCCTAGAAAATGCAGATGAAGAAAGGATCATAGTAGCTATGCAGGAAAACTACATGAAAAACATCTGTAAACACTGGTACAGATATACGATGCATTTAATTGTTCATACAAACAGAAACACATATAGCCATAGGTATGCAGTACTCAGAAAGGAAGTTTAAAGCTAGACGACTATGATGCTTGCTGAGGACCCTTCTAAAATTACCATTTTGACACAACAATATGATGAGAAAAGTTAACGATGATTGCTGCAGTCAAACACAGGAAAATAAGAACATTTTGACTTTTGAGAAATAGGAATGGAAAAACATTACACAAAGATCTCCCCTTCTCTTTTTTTTTTTTGCTAAGGTGTTACACAAAGGTCTCCTTTCCTGCAACATAATTGTGCATTTTAATTTTGACACTACTATTGTCCTGGCTTCACTAATCGAAGAAAGGGAGTACACACCTTGCCAGTAAAACATTGGGCAATCGTGTCTCCAAATTTCACAGTTTACTAGTTAAGAAAGTAACACGTCATTTTTAAGAACTTAATATGCAATTAAAAGAAAATTCGGGTTATAACTAATCATTGAGCATGCTATCCATACTGTACTGAATGAGGAAGGGACCATTCATAAACAAATTCAGTATAAAGAGCTTCTTCAATGATTCCAATTCGTGGAAAGCCTTGAAGTACTCTTCCTTTGGTAGATCCAAGCCAAAACCTACTTCTAACAACTTGTTGGATCAAAGTAGTACATTATACATTTTCCCCAGCAGCGGAGGGGTTTAATTCTCGTTACACATGATGTGGCAGAAAAGATTAATTCAACAAGTTGTCTTGCTTGCATTAAGATATAAACTTGCCGTGCATAATTTCAAAGTTGAGATAAATTTGACCATAATCAGAAATGATACCTACTACGCTTCAGTCCGAAACTAGTTGCAGTCGGCTATATAATTCCTCATTAACCATGTTTCAACAATTAAATTCTTTTAGGCCACACCCAAGTGGTTTGAAGTGAGTTGAGAACCATGAGATCTAAGGTTCAATTCCTCGCAAAGGGAAAAGCTTAGATGGTTTCTTCTTTTTTGTCCGGCCTGGGTGGTCCCGTAAATTAGTCGAGGTGTACCAACTGGCCAGTTACGACAGTCATCACAAAAGGTCTTTATTCAGTCATTAAGTCCGTTTATTTTTTAGGTATGAATCTTAATTAATTGGATCTTAACCATTAAGAGCATTTTTATATTACAACCTCTTAATGGGTTTGAATAGACTTGAATGATTAAGATATGCAACAAAGACTTAATATCATTAAGATGTATATTTAAAAATTCCTTTTTTTATGACAAGGGAAACCCGCAGCCAGCCGCTACCCTTAAGGGGGTGCGCATAAGGTAAAACCCCCGCTCCTATGCAATAGCCTGCAAACCACACAAGAGAGGTAACCCGCACTAGACAAGCCCGGTGCGATGAGCTCAAATCACTGGGCCACTCCGAAGGGTGTAAATTTAAAATTTTCTACAAAGATGGTAGTTCACCAATTCTATCTATTCACTGTTGTCGCCATCACTCACCATTATTGATTACCACCATTGTCGCCCATCATTATCTACCACCACCACCCACCCACAACTACCATCCTCAACCACAACCACCATTGTTGTCAATCACTACAATCAGTTGTCACCACCACTACCCACTATTTAACATCATCACCACCATTACCACAACAACAACCTATCACTACACACAATCATCATCATCGTCACCACTATGTATTGCAAACCACCATCATTATTTACAACTACCATTAGCTATCACTATATTCCACCATCAACCATTATTGTCAGTTACCATCACCACTAGCTACTACCCACAACAACATCATTAGACAACACTATTCTAATCGGATCCCACAACCTCCACCGCTAGCCATTACCACCAACCGCTAATAGTTCTTTTAAAATATTTTGTTGATATATATTTTATTAACTTCTATATTTATTAAGTTTAAAGGCAAATTTAATTATTTAGTTTTCAGATCTTAAACAATATCTTAATATTCAGATATGCATTCGAATTCAAACATCTAATCTGAATGCAATATCTTAATATTCAGATGTGTATCCAAATTCAGACGTCTTAGTCTTAATAAGAACAAATGCGGCCTAAATATATTCCCGTCTAACTGCCTATATAGAGCTTTACAAATGCTACTTGCACTTTCATGTACCATATTTTCGCTTTCAAGAAACTATACGTCTCTCGATACAACTTCCTTCCATGTAATTTTAGGCCTACCTCGTCCCATGTTATCACATACTACCTTAGTTTCACACCAATAGAGCGACATATCTGGAGATTGATGCAGGATATGACCAAACGATCTCAAGCGACCTTCTCTTATATTATCCTCAATATGCTACTTGCTTCTTCTAATGTGATCATTTTTAATCTTGTAAACACACATCCAGCTTGGCATCTGCATTTCTATGGCACTCATCTTGAGGATGTGTTGGACATAATCAGAAATACAAACAAAAAAATAAGCCAAAAAGTTCATGATTAAGATAGCCTATCACAAGACATTCTCAAAATCATCTTCGCTATTTCAGGCATGCATTATATGGGGTGGAGGTGGATACACTGCACATTCAAGTTATCCACTCACCATATCATTCTCACGGGCTGAAGTGTGCCCCCTCGTGAATGTTTCTTCGATTTAAATCTCCAAATTTTGTCCCCCCAACCCCCACACCCTGGGCCAAAGAAAAAGAATAACATTGGTAATGTAGAAGAATTAAGATTCCAGTAACCTGATAATCAACACTTGAAGTGAAAAAGATTCGAGCAAACCCCAGGACTATGAGTGGACAAGTTGAAGAAATTGCATTTCTCAAATTCCTGGAAATGTAAGTGCCAATTAAGAAAGTGCAAAATTTTATTTATCAAATGAATAAAAGAAGAGAATTGATTAGATAATTACAGACCAGAAATTAAATAACAGTTCTAATCAAGCAACATGATCTGACTGTACTTTTGTAGACCTAGTACAGAGGAATATATTCCTTTATCAAATGAATCAAGAAGAGAATCAATTACATTAGTAATGGAACAGAATTCTGACTCTCATATTGAAAAAACATCATCTGACTGTATGTTTAGATTGAAAGCCCTAGTACAGGGGAATCAATTATAAATAGCTATATGGATTCCAGGAGAAAAATTTTCTTTCTTCATCAACATTATGTGGACTAATGATTGGTTTGAGAGACACATTGACCAGCCCAAAGAATCAAATAGTAGGGTTTCTACATAAGTATATATTAATGATAGCCAGAATATTCTTACGGGCCGTTTGGTTTGAAGTATTAGAGAAAACAATACTAATATTAGAAATTATGCAATATATGTTATCTTTAATTCCAACATAACTACTCTCAGAATTACTAAGACACCCTAATCAGTACTATTCATATACACCCTACTAAACGACCCCTAAAGAGAAACATGTCAGTCAAACTATATAGCACCATCCAGTCATCAACAAGAAGTAAAATCTCATCAATGGTCATGATAAAAGTTCAAATCGAGAATCATCACTTACGTTTTTGCAATTCCACGTGCTTGTCGTGAAACCAACGCATTTGCCACAATAAACGAACCTACTCCAATGTCCATCTGATACAACCACAAGGTAAGCATAAGGTACCTAATTCTAACTCCAGTTTACATTTCGGCAAAAGGTTCATCAGAAGTAGTCAGCTGACAGAACCAGGATGAAAAAACTAAACAAAAAGATGAATCAATGAAGTTGAGCTCAATACAATGGAACTGACGTAGGACGACATAAAAGTGAAGGAAAAATAGAGAGAAGAACTTTCATAATGACAACTTGCAAATAAGCATATGCTAGCGAAAAAAGTTACCTAGGATTTATTTAACATGTCAATGCCTAAAATGAGATAGAAAATGTAATTTTAAGAACTATACAAGGAATCTTGCTGTGTTTTGAACAACAAGAGAGTACACACAGTAATACTAATCAATCACATAGAACAACCCTGGTCTACTCTAGAAAACAATACCAATAAATCATCTCTTCTATTCCATTCGTTAACTAGAAAACAATACCATCAAATCATCTCTTATATTCCATTCGTTTCCTTTCCAGAAATAACCCTTAATATTACAATTATTTACTGTCACCATCCTTAATCTCTACATCTCAAAGAAAACTTTGCGTTAAGAAATTTTTGAACTGATACAACCTAAATCCTAGCCAACAATGTTGTTAAAGGGTCGTTAGAACTTCCGTTTCGCCTTATAACTGAGCAACTGCAGATTGGGATGTTCCCAATCGCTCAGCCGGCACTTCAGTGCACACATCAAGGTATTAGCACAAATATGGCAATAGAATACAGATAGTTGTTTACCAAGCCAGTACCGTAGGTCTCTGTTTTAGCATATCTTCTAGGAAATATCTTGAAGTCAACAGCCAGAATACATATGCATGTCAGAAAATTCTGCAGCAATCATACCTAAAATCATAAATAGTAACTCCAGCAATAAAAGGAAACAAAAGTAGATGAAAGCATAATGTAAATAATTGTTATTCTGCATACCATAGCAACCCTGTATGCAGATATATTTGTCCTAAGAGATCGGACCCCCTCTTCCTGAGAAACAGAAAATCCAGATCTGCATTGAACATGAAATACCGTTACATACAATAAGCTGCGTGAAATACATGTAAACAGCTTCATGGAATAGCTGTAGAATTCTATGATTGGATTACCTTCTAGCTAAAATAAAGAATGTCACCAATAAGGTCATCCCAACTGCATTAGTATATGTCCAATCTGCCAGAATCTGAGATTGAATAGTTACTCATTTGATTAAGAATATCAAGTATTAAATCAAGTTCTCAGAACTTGAGATCATCTAGCACACAGGAAACAACTACTTCATCAACAAATGACTAGAAACGATAACCAGTTTATACCTAAATCTTCTTACTCTTTCCTTTTCATTCAGATGTTAATATAATAGAGATCTTTTCATCCATTTATTCAACTTGTTAAAACGAATCACAAGTATTGTTGGTATTATAGAACAGACAGAGAACACTTACAGTTAAACATAAAATGACTGGAAATACAATGCAGAGGACGTCAAGAGTCGCTGAAGCAAGATGTGATCCCATGTTCTTCTTACAAACAACTGCATTAACGTTATCATCTTTCTTTGACAAGGTCTCTGCAAAATTAGGATCAGATGCCTCACAAAGGGGTGAAGTGATACAGTTATTGGCCACATAAAATGGTGAAACAAGAAAAGGAAATGGAAATAAAGTACAACTAACGTCACAAACAAAGTGTTAGGACTTCTTTCGTCAAACAATACAACTAATCAAGCAATTATGAGTTTGGGCAACAGTGATCAGACTAAAACAAATGGGTCTTCAGGAAGTTCATTGACCACTACAGGATCAACACATTAGCAAAAGATTTTAGTTGTTGATAAATTTGAAAAAAGGCCTAATGTATCTGTTGCTATATCCAAGAAAAACTTTTTTTTTCACTTAACAGTAATACGAGTTTCACACCCAACTTCAAAACTGGGAGTTTCTTTTGGACAAGAGAAGTCTAGCAATTTCTATTTTAGGTGCAATGAGTATTAAATTTACACAGCAAGTAGGATGATACCACTATAATAGTTCTTCATGATCTCTTTAGAAAGGTCTCAATGATAGTATCTCCTCAATAAAGTGCATTTATTGTCACTTAGTTTCACTCAGAACCTTTTACGTGATAAATAGACCAAAGATTATCCCAAAACTCTAGCTCCCAGTTTTATAGCTTCAAATATATCCCAAGTCCCATTCACTTTACTCCAAACGGAATTCTAGAATGTTCGGCCTACTTCCTTAAAGTTTTCATACTCTTCCCAAACCAATCATTAGTCCCACATTATGTCCTCAGCTTTACCCTCTGAAAGACCAAGAGCCCCTCAAAAAGCATTTTCATAGACCTCAGTATAGTAGTGGCTTAGCATACTGATAACCTGTTAACATGTAGGAGTCACACTAATACACTATTCATTGCATCTTGCCTAGGAGGTTCAGTTAGTTCAGATCCTCCCCTGCTTCAACATTTGCTGTTTTACTACTAACTTATCCAGAAGTATTTTGCATGACGGAAGAATTGCATTGACTTAGTTATTTCTTGTTAGTGGATTTAGTTAAGCTTTTTCTGCCCAAAAATTAAGAACCAATGGAATGTCTTTTGGGAGGATAATAAAAATGGATCTATAAAATTCTAGGACTTCAACTATTATTTGATGTAAAACGTAAATTAACAAAGTGTGATGATGAATTCAGAATACTGTACAGTCCTTTCTTTACTTTCTATAAGTCAAAATGTAACAAAATGATAACCTTCTCCTCTTCTTTCTTTCCAAACTGACTGCAAATACTCAGACTCCAAATTTAAAAAAATAAACTACCAAGTACCAAAACAAAAATTGAAAGAAAAGTTAGGTTCTTTTTTCCAATCAGTCCCTCACCGGTGGTGGTGGAAGGTGACAGGTACTTGGTAGATTAGTCAAAGTGCAACAAAGCTAACCCGAACACCTTCATTACAAAAATAAATAAGTAAACGAATAATGTTTTCAAACCAACTATATCCATATAAACAGTTTGGTCTTTGTCACATTTAGCTAATCGTAAGAAAATAATACAAATACTTAATAAAAAGGAGGAGAATACGTAATTTTTTCTTCTGTATCATTCCAATTTTGCCTGATGGCAAACTATTTAAGGCTCAAATACAAGCTTTACAGCATCTAAAATGGAAAAACCCGAAAAAAAAAAAAGCAATTAACTAAAATTTAATAAGAATGATGAATAAAATGTCATGACAGGAGAAAAATAATACAATGTTGTGCTATTTCACACCTTTTTTGGAACTGGAATATACCGAACGTAGAAAGAGGAGCATCTGAATCACAACACAAAAACAAAATTAAAATATAACACATAATACCAAAAAAAAATAAAAATAGCAACGTTTTTTTACCGAGAGAGTGGTAATGAGAAGGAATAACTCCGTCATTGAAGTTCCTGTTAAATTGCTCACAAACCTGAAACGAATGATCGAAAAGGTAATTGTTCAAAATTCAGATCATAACAAAGTGGAAAAAAATGCAATTTATGGATTTGTTTGTTCAAAGAAAATCGTAACTCTTCCTTGAGACGCTTGTACGGATTGATTGTGTTCGCCGGAGAATCCATCGTCGGTGACGGAGATGGCGAAGTTCGTCAATACCTGTAGTGTGTAAGCAATTTCACCGGCGGAGGTTCGAACAGTTCTGAATCGGAACGGAGTGAAATTTAGGAAGTAGTTCTGCAATTAAGCAAATACCAAAAAAGAAATTTACACTATTTGTTGTTTTTAGCCTTTTTTTTTTGGGAAAATTATATATAACACTGGCAAACTATTAATTCAAATTAAAAGTTATAAATATAATTTGATTTAATTATATCACATAGCAAATTGTTGTTATTTTCGTCTCTCTCTATGGTGGAATCTCGCTCGCCACTCTCGTATTGCGCTGCCAGTCTCGCTCGTCTCTCTCGCTTTTATACAAACATAAATGTATAAAATACGTTTGTGTTTGTATAAAGCGAGAAAAAATTGTATATATACATATATTTTCATTCCATTGTCTCCCCTCTCCCAGATCTCGGTCGCCACTCTCCAGATTTGGCTCGCCACTCTCACTTGCCTCTCTCACTTTATACAAACACAAATATCTACATTGCGTTTGTGTTTGTATAAAGCGAGAGAAAATTGTATATACAAATACAAATGCATATATTTTCGTCCTATACACTTATGATTATACAAATACGATCTTCCTCTGCCCAGTTTTCTTTTGTCTTTCTCTCTTTATACAAAATAGATTATAAAATTGATTCTTTTATATATGTATGCCGAAACAGATTATACAATTACTTCTTTTGTATATATGTATAGCGAAATAGCCATAGATTTCATTTGTATATGTATAGCGAATATACATATTTATGTTTGTTATGGAGCGCAATTATACAAACTATAGTTATAGCATACAACTATGATTTTTATGTTTGTTATATGTGAATCATTTTATATATATATATATATATATATATATATATATATATATATATATATATATATATTATTAAGATAATTTATAATTATAAGTTTTAACAGTTTTTTTTTAAAAAAAAATTGCTTATGATCACGTAAGAACAAATAAAATGAGACGAGGAAAATAATAATAAAAAAAATGTCTCTAATGTATTGAAGATGTCATAATCTTGTACGTCAGAGTCGTTTCAAAGTTCCAATTAGCACTTAAAACATGTTGTTGTCTCACGTGATATTTTTTATTTTTCAAGATTAGATTTAAAATTATACAAATTTTAAATAAACATTTGAAGGACATTTGTTTTTATCATATTGATATGAGAGCCTTTACAATTTATAATAATTTTCATATAATATTTGAATATCTAACTTCAAAAATTAAGTCGATTAACTTTTAAAAAGCAAAATGTCTCACGTAAATATTAAAATATATTATTAAACATACATTTATTTATAGTGTATATTATTTATGGAATAATTATTTGTTTGTTTATTCAATTCAATAAGTGTTACATCAAATAAATTATATGTCCTATAGGTGTCCTCGTATATATATATATATACATATAAAGAGTTTAAATTTAGTATAATTTTCATAAATTTTATAGTAGTAACAGCTAATTACATTATTTCTCTATTATTTTTCAATTTTTTTAAGAATTCCTTAAAATTTATGAATTTCGGATACATCAACAGACATTCAGATACATATGGAAAGGATGTATCCGAGAGGGGGAGGATGTACCAAAGACGGGATAGAACATCCGGATACATAGAAACGAGGAATATATCAGAGAGGGAAGGGATGTATCAGAGAGGGGAGGGATGTTACCAAGAGGGAGATAGGGATGTATTAGTGAGATGGGAGTGATATATCCGAAAGGGTAATTTTAAAAAAAATTTAAATGGTAGGAAATTTTAGAAATTTATGATAAAATAAAATGTGTATTGAGGTAATTTTTTCTTACATAAAAATTAAATCATCAATTCTTATAAGTCAAAAAATATTATTCATAATCATAAACGAGAATTTGAATAAACCATCAGAATGATTATAGCACGAATTTAAGAAATTGGTCATATTTATGAAAATATAAAATTCTAACTTCTCATGCTAGTATATTTTGAATGTGTTTGAATAGAACTAAGTATATATATATGACTCAAATAGTCATGACAAGATTTATTTATTATTCATGTGAACACTATATTTTTAAAATACTTTTTGTTATACATAATGTATCCAAGAAAGGAGTACTCAATTTGAAATATTTATCAATTCAAAAACCTCTCTAAAATTTTAATTGTACAGAGAATCCTCGAAGGCTCAAAGAACTTTATCAAGGAAACCATTGAAAATCACATAGTAAAGTTAGTTGACACTTGACACATAAATATAAACTTGAATATATTATTTAAAGTTCGATTCTTTCGTTTTAATTTGTTTGTTCTGTTTTGATTTGACAAAAGGCTTAAGAAAGTAAAAAGATGACTTTTAGATCTTGTGATCTTAAATTATACAAAAAATAGAACAAACAAATTGAGACGAAGGAAGTATGTATTATGAATGAAGAAGATAGATCTAATAATACAACATCTTCCATTAAGAAGCCCAATTAAAAAAAAATACAAAATTATATTAATTTATTGATATCTACTGTGTATGACTCTGAAACTTCACCAAAACCAGCATTTCCAGTAGTTGTTTTGCTTTTGTATTCACCAAAAGAAGTACAACTTTTTGTTGAATTATGTCCCTTTATAATTTTTGCCCTCACATGTTCTGGTAATTTCAATGTAAACCTATCTTCAGCTCCTCTAGATCTATCTATCGAATGCCCCGTTGAATGCGATCTCGAAAATTTCGCTTCTTCATCTTGTAATTCCACACGTTCTAATGTTGCACTAGCGCATCCACTTTCCTCTTCTTCTTTATGATCATCATCGTTGTTATTATCGTCTGGAATTGTAATGCTCAAAGAATCTTCTAACGATTCGTTCTCATTAATGTCACGCATGACATTATTGTTATTGCTATTATTATTGGTATTGTTATTGTTATTATTACTATTACTATTACTATTACTCGTCACATATGATGTATATTGCGACCTTTTCTTTAGCACCTCGGGCGAGTCTAGGTTCGCGCGACACACAGGGCATGTCTTGTGTGATTCGAGCCATAGATCGATACAATCTTGATGGTAAACATGGTTACATGAGGTAACGAGGCGGAGGACACTGTCGTTGTCGAATTCAACCAGACAAATAGCACATTCAAGACCACAAGATTCTTTACGATAATCTTTTACACTTGAATAGGTAAATGTTGGAAATGATTTAATAATAGAAGGATCAAGACCTAATTGTCCATTTGCTGAAACCCTAGGATCAATTGGAGTACCATTAGGGCTATTTCTTAAATGCCATGTGTATAGTAGATTTTGGATGAAACATCTACAAAAGAAAATAGATGAAAAACCTATGAAGAAAATTAAAACAAGGATGATAGTGAAGATTATTGCTACTGGTGGTGAGGCATATGTTGTTGGTGATGGTGGTGATGGGGTTGAGTTTTGGACATTTGAAGACATTTAATTTGAAGAACAATAGAGAGCATTAAGAATATGAATTATTTAACTTCTTAAATGAAAGAAGTAAAAAAGAGGAAGATAAGTGATGAAAGAAGGTGGAAAAAGGAAGAGTAGTGACATGGATGATTTTTTAGATTTAGTTTTTTTTTTTGTTAGTGTTGTTATGGGAAATGATAAATTAAATAAAAAAAGAATATAGTAATTATTGTTATTGAGATAAATATGTGTTAAATTATGGTACAGTAACGTGGAAAAGGTTGGTTTATTATTCTATGGTTAAGAAGGAAGTTCTAGAGAGAGTTCCATGTTATGAGGAAATGTGAGATATTAAATATGTATAGTAGCGTCTATGGTTTTGCTACCATCAGTTAACTCATTTCCTTTAGGTAATATTTATATACTTATACTTATTACATATTACACTAGTAATTCAACCTACTGATTAGTAATTATTTCTTCGTTCGTTTTAAAATAAGTGTTTTTTTAGTAAAATTTGTCCCAAAATAAATATCGCGTTAGAAATTCAAGACAAAATAGTATAGTATACCCTTATATTTATAAAAATTACTTTTTTTTTTATAATAGTGTTCAATTCTTAAGAAATATGTAATAAATATAAGGGTATAATTTAGTAATCATATCCCACAATTTTTTTAATGGGTGCTAGTTAAATAGATTTGCACTTAAAAGCGACAACTACAATTTGCAAAATCTTATCACATGGGGATCTTCAATTATTGCTTTACTAATGTTGACATTTGCACATCAACATAATTACATGCCATTTTTTGGGCATAATTCCTTTATACTTTTCTTCCTTTTAGGTGGAATATTGTTGTCGAATTTAATAACATTGGACAATAATTTCTAAGAATGGAAGTTGCCAATCAATTCATAATGCTTAATGGAATTAATTATCATGTTGACACTTTCATAAGCATTCCTCTTGATTTGCCATTGATCTGTGGCTGACATTCAACCATAAGTTTGTTCAACTTCTTGTTGCTTATCCTCTCTTGAATTATCCTTGTATCACTCTCCATACTATCAAATCAAAAAGGAAAAATTGTATGAGATCCATATCATCATATTAATTACCTCAATTATCATAGATAACAACATTGATATTCAAGAATTGCGTTCAATAAATCATCACCAAGATATTAATGATTTACATTTTTGAAAGAAACTATATGTACGCACAGTTTAACCTATAAAATTTAAAAAATCTTCATAATTATTTACAAGAATACCACATATACAGTGTAATTCTATAAGTGGGATTTGCAAAGGTTAGGATCAAGGTACGCAGACCTTACGTCTTCTATCTTTATAAAGTAGATAAACTGTTTTTTGATACATGCTCGGTAGGTAAGAAAAGAATTTGTATCATGGAGCAAGATGTTGATAGCAAGATACAAAGCATTTATTTTTTTTGAAAACTTGAATTTCATAATTAAAGCATAATTTTTAAAAAACTTGAATTTCATAGTTCCATAAAAACCGATACATTTCTATATTTAGTAACAATATCTATTTTATTCTTAGCGAAATTATTTATAGTCACACAAACATAAGTCAAATACATCACATGAATTAAAACGGAGAAAATAGTACCTTTGAGGTGATGAAGGCAAAGGGGATAAGATGTTGGCAAGTTTAACAGCATCTTCAGTTTGATTAATGATGTGATTAAAGCATAAATAGCGTCCATAAGTTGAAATTTGTTCATAAACACAAATGTGGGCCTCCACCAAGAAATCAAGATCAACGGTCACAAACACTCCATCTTCGTACATCTCAGCAGCTCCTTTAAGATATGGATTTTTGATCGTTAGATCAGGACCCATTAATAGTCCTGCGTTGACTGATACCATGTTGACTCCTCTGTCCATAGCCAACGCCCATGCTGTCTTCTCTGCTAGTGTTTTTGACAATGCATGCCATAGCTATCCATTTTCATCAAAAATAAAATTCACTATCATCGCACAAGTAAGGTCTGAAAAGGATAGTATATAGATAGAACTTATCTTCTTTCGAAGTCCTATCTTCAGAGAGACTGTTATCGATACATTTGTGTATATTACAACAACACTAACTGAATGATCTCATAAGTGGGATCTGAGAAAAATAAATTATGTGTAGATCTAATTCTTATCTTTATCACATTTATTCTACTTTACGTGATTTGATTTGTAATACGAATGTCAAATCAATTAATTTTTTAAGACAAGTCGAATATGAAAATTATTATTTCTTTTTTGAAATAAAATCTACATATTTAGAAATAATAGAAAAATATATTATAAGTCACTAGTATACATGGTTAATATTAAAAAAAATTGGTAAAAAAAAACATTATTTTACTCTTCAAATAGTAGATAGGACACACAAGTGAGACAGAGGGAGTAATATGCTCTAATTAATCTAATTTATCACTTTAACCATGATAATTAACATAGTTTGAACTTTAAGCATGCATTACCTGTGCGCATTTAATAATTCGCATATTAAAATAATTTATACGAAAGTCTTCTAGTTGAACATCATGCACAAGTAGTAGTATTCACGATACATGAACTTTTAATTAATTCAATTAGGTATAAATTAACTTTAATTTTTCAGAATTGAATAATTTCAAATTTCAAATATTATCACTTTGAAAATAAAAGTAAACTTTTTTTAAATTTCATAGTAAAACATGATCAAAACGTCTACCTAAATCCTCTAAATATAATGTATGTTGGCATATGTACCTTGAATTTACGACAAACGTTGATGTCACTCCAATGTCTTTCATCAAGAAGCATGGATGCAGAGTTTTGATCATTTTCATGATGTCCCCAAATAATTGCAGTTGCTGAGGAAGTGAACACAACTTTTTCAATAGTGTCTGTTTGTGCACATGCTTCCAGTACATTATGTGCTGCCCTCACCTCCACTTCTCCGATATATTCCTGCCCCGGGATAAAAAAATTATTTCTGATATATCATCGATTTTAAAGAAAAGTTTTTGAAGTAGGATAGTAGAAAGGTATTGATAAGTCAACACCCTAGTTTCATATATTAACAATATTATCAATCATTTAAACACAAATAAAAGAGTAAAGCTCTCATGTTGACCTGTTGTAGTTGATAATCTGTCTTATGTTCAAGTTATTAATTCTACCTTTTTAATGGACGATTATAACTTTTTACACGACCTAACATAGAAGTTAAAACTCGAAACACAAATTAAATCATATAATCTTCAGAGTAAATCAAGAGTAATCGTACATCATAAGTGGAATGATCATGAGGAGGCTCAAAGGAATAGAAGAGAGCACAACAACCCTTCAAAGCATCGACAATACTATGATAATCAAAAGGATCCGATTGAAAAATCTTCAATTTCTTCATCTTATCATCATCATCATCACATTCAAGTTCGTCCAAGAACAACGATGATTCGCCTAATACGAGAGTAGGAAAGGAAGAAAACGAGTTAATTTCTCATATTGTCACTTAAGTAATAGCGATCTTCTGAGATAATAACTATTACTAGAGCACTGATCATCTGAGAAATCAATCTGGAAGAAAACTAATGAATAGAAAAGGGGGAAATTAAAAAGAGAAGTAACAATGTTCCTAACCATAATTTTGAAGGGATGCATGAACAGTATATCCTCTCTGAAGAAGACATTTAACAAGTTTTGTACCTAAACAACTCGAGGCATCCATTACACAAACTGCACTATTCATGTTGAAATTGCTCTCAATTAGAAGTATATAACAATCCAAATAATAGAGAGTTTGATCTATTGATTGGATATTTGTTAAATAAAGAGATCAATTGGGATGTGAAGAGTTAATTGATTCAAGGACTTTGTATATATAAAGCTACCTAGCTAGCATCTATATATACAACAAAAAAGGTAGTTGTAGGACCCAAATAATAATGAGTGTGAGTTTGAGCCAGAAGTCTCGGGTTCAAGTCCCTTAGCTTAGCTGTTAGGGAGCGCTTTATTTTCAATGTGGGATTTTCCGACACGATCGGGCTTCATTAATGTGGGTATCAAGCACGGGGTGGAAACCAACAAACACTAATATACTTATTCTATACCATAGTTAAATTTCAATTTTTTTCTTAAAAATATATTATTAACAGTAAAAACTATACTAATATTATTAAGAGCCCATTTGGATTGATTTAAAGAAAGTAACTTTTTAAAGTGCTGGAACTTATTTTAAAAATAAGTAGTTATGTGTTTGGATAAAAGTGCTGCAGTTGAAAAAAAAGTTGTTGATGTTTTTGGCAAATAAGTGCTGGTAAACACTTTTTTTAATCAAAATGTCTGAAATACCCTTTAAGCAGTTAACATGATAAAAAGTTGATTAATTTAAGGTTTTTATACTTAAAAAAAAATTAAAACAAAATAAATTTATATTTTACATCCATAAGTTATATTTTCCTATCATTCACATATTTCTTTACCACCACAAATTATTTATAAGAGGAATAATAATAATAATAATAATAATAATAATAATAATAATAATAATAATAGTAATAATAGTAATAATAGTAATAATAGTAATAATAATAATAATAATAATAATAATAATAATTAAAAAAAATAAAAAAATAAATAATAATAATAATAATAATAATAATAATAATAATAATAATAATAATAATAGATGTTAGGGTTAATTCAATATGGGCAATTTGGGAATTGTATAAAAGAATTAAGGGCAAAAAGGTAATATACTTGGTCAACATAAAAAGGCTTTTAAGTTTTTTTTTTAAAAAAAGCTCCCCTCACCTAGCTTTTAACTTTTGGCTTAAAATAAGTCACTTTGATAATTGTCAAATACTCTAATAAGTCAAAAATTGACTTTTAAGTTAGTTTAACCAGCTTAAAAGCCCATCCAAACAGGCTCTAAGTCATTCTCAAATTAATGCACTTTTTTCTTGCATGCATATGTAGGTGGGGTGGCCAGTTAGGCAGGCTTGTTGAGCTTTCCAGGGTGTATTTTGAGTTGTTAGGAGATGTTGTGGGGATAAACATTAATTACAAACCTAATTAAATACTGCTGAAGCAAAAGCCTTCCTCTTTGGCCTGAAGTGGTGTATTGCCAATGGACACATCTTTACTACAGTTGAAACTGATTCCCTCCTCCTCCTAAATAGCATTCTCAATTTATGGTCTACTCCTTGGAGGATGAGAGAAACGGTGGAAGAAATCAGAGAGTTGATCCTCAGACACAATATTCAGATCAATCACTGCTATAGGAAAGCCAACAGAGTGGCTGACAAACTTGCTTCTTATAGTCATCTAACCAACACTACCATAGTTATTACCGACACATCTGGTCTGCCAGCACATGTTAAGGGACTCCTCAATTTAGATAAATGGCAATTTCCATCCTTTAGGATTAAAAAAAGGAAGCCTTCCCTGATTTACTATGACCCTCCTTGAGAAGTCTTTTGCTAGTTGTCACCTTTGTGCAACTTTTTTTGCCCATTGCTACTGTAATCTTCAAGAAGGCAAGGTCTAAACCTCCTTCTCAAATTGTAATTGTGTCTCAGTGGCAATGATAGATATAAAATTTCAGTTTTAAAAAAAATAAAAAATAAAAAATAAAAAATAAAAAATAAAAAATAAAAAATAAAAATAAAAAAAAATATGTACACTAAAGTTCATACCTTAATTTCATTATTTTGCGGTTTGGGCTACCTACTAAACTTAGGCAATTAGCAAGAACGTGATATAAATCTGTCCATTACAAATTTATTTATAATTTTATAATCTTTTTAAAAGAAATCTTCGTTTTTATATATGTAAAATTTGAAAGATCTTTTTATCATTTCTATTCAATTTATATAGCTATACTAGGTTTCAACTTCGTGTCCCACCGATAATTGACACAACAATTAATTGGGGTACGCTGTTGACTTTATTCCAAATTCCAATTCTTGATATAAAAATTTTTCCTAGAATATTATATAAAAAAAAACACTATAGTCCGTTATATACATATCAAGAACAAACTCATAATCAAACAAAAAGAGACCCATTCTTGACAATTCAACGGAATTCATTGAATATTTCAATGATGGCTCAACTACTTCTCACAAATGGTTTGGAGAATTTTCTTGCTAAGCTCAAGTACTTCCTCGATTTCATATTATTTGATCTCTATATAAAATTGAACATCACTAATAAAGTGAAAGTTTCGTTAACTACCTGAGCTACTAATATTCTCTTGGGAAAAAAAAGTCGAAATGATTTCCCTTACATTTTATGTCAACGTGATTGGTCTCCTATCTCACGAGTACTCAAGCAATTTATTGCCTAAAACAAGTATGTTAAATCTTGATATTTCTAATTTCCTTTTCTTTCTTTTTCCTACTTTTTGCCAACAACTAAAATTAATATCAGGCTATATATAGTTTAATCAAGCATTTATACACCGCACATAAGATTGAGAGTCACATTAAATATAAGATTTGTAATCTTAAAATAAATCATACTATCTATTATAAAATATAATTAAAGGTGATATGGACATAAAAAAAAAATTAAGTTAATGTGCATATAATTAATTAAAGTATATACGTACATCATAAGTGCATGACTGGTCCTTTGGAGGTTCAAAGGAGTAAAACAAGCCAGAACATCCCTTTAGAGCATCAACTATACTATGATAATCAAAAGGGTCCAAATGAAAATTCTTAATTCTCTTCATGTCACATGCATCCAAGAACTCACCATGACCACCTAATAAAAAAAACCCAAATTAAGTAAAGAATCATCGATAAGAAGGGTAGCTCAGATGGTAAGCACACGTTGCAAGTTCGAGTTATTAAAAAAGGGGAGTTCCTAGGGAGGGGTAAAAATAAAAAAAACGAACCATTATGAATATTTTGAATAGCAGCATGAACCGTGTAGCCATTTGTGAGTAGTCTCTTGACTAAGCTCGAGCCGAGACGAGTCGAGGCATCCATGACACACACAGTGTTAGAGATGGAGTTAAAATTTGAAGCCGGAGCCATTGTTGTGTTTGTGGTTCAAAAAAGGAGAGAGATGAAATAAGGATAAGTAGAACAAAGATATGTATGTATAGGGGAACTAACAAGTTTATAAGCTAGAGAAACATTCAAAGATTGTTGGTGTTACCTACCTGCGGATTCAAGATTTAAGCTTTATGAAATTTAATTTTTAATATTATGGTCTCAAATCTATTATTTTGCAATTTTAGTAAATTATTATACATAAATCACTCTATCTGTTTCAATTTGTTTATTTTACTTTCCTTTTCAATTCGTTTAAAAAGAATGTCTCTTTTTGTTAGCAACTCTTTAATTAAAACTTTGCACATGACATGTTAAAACCATAAGATTAAAAAACATTTTGGTACATTCAAACATATATGTAGTTTAAGATTACATGATTCAAAAATCTTCTTTATAGTTTTTAAAATCAGACAAACAAATTTTAGCTTGAACACACCCCTTAATAAAATTACTCATTCCTAAAAAGTAAAATATACTTTACTAACTTATCCTTAATAAATCACTTGAAAAAAGATGTAACTCTTTAATGTAATAGCTTTAGTACGTAGAACTCGTTATTTAAATAAGGGCAAAATTGAAAAATCATTATTAATGTATTTTTTATTATGTTGAAACACTACTTACTTTGAAATAAAATAAAAAGGTAAAAATATTAATTATTTTAAAATAAATAGAGTAGTATTTTATACTAAAAATTATTAGATTCAGATAAACTCGATAACGAGTTGGTAAGTGGTAGTTGGCAAGTTAGCAAATAATGACCAAAGTTGGAGAAAAAGAAGGTTGGATATTATAGACAAGTATTATGGGGTTTGGTTTGGTGAGAGGGAAAACCTCAACACCACAAGAAACACCTACCAAAGCTTATACTACTAATTAACAGTCATCGTCTTTGTATTCTCTCCTAACTTTTTGTTGTACACATAAATCATCGTCAAATGAGTAATGTAAAAGTTTTTCCATTTCAATTTGTTATGATTTTCTGTTTTATTCATTTTTTTTTAAAAGTATTATACTTTTTTATTGATTAAAAATAATTTAATTTTAATTCTTTACTTTTATTTTTAATAAAATAATTTATAATCATATAAATGTTTTTGATTTATTTTTGACCATATAAATATCAAATCTTTTAGATTCTTTCTTAGAGATTTGATGTCCAATCAAATTTAATATATTGCAAATATATTGAAACGAAGAAAAAGATTACTTCCCATTATTTTCAAATAATATTTTTTGTCATATTATATATATATATACATTTTTTTATTGATTCCGTCAATACAAAATTTGGACCAAGTCCTGATTTTGATCATTACAATTTACACATCTTTGAATTATACTTATACATATACAAATATATGTATGAATATTTCTAATTTGTTTTCGAAATATATTTCCTGCTAATATAGGGCAGATTTCTTTCTCCTGGAGGATTTTTTCATGTGTGAGTGTTTTTTTCAGATGCTAGAAACGTTTCATTCTATCATTTACGTATCATGATTTCAAGAATTTTTAACAACTCAACTTATTTAGGGGTGTGTAATTGGTTCTTTCCATCGTTCTAAATTAATTAATTTGGTTTATGCAATAAATTTATTATTACAAACACCATACCCAATAGGAGCGGAGTTAAGCTGGGTCAATTAAACAAGAGATTTATTTGAATTCCCTTCATAAAATTATATTATTTATACATAATTAGATTATTATTTTTTTATATATAATAGATGTTGAATTTTCTTTGCTTCTTCGCATATTTACTTTTTCACATTTTAAACCTCTTTTAGCATGAACAA